TTTTTACGGTAATTTTATACAGTCAATTTAGGATATAGTACGAGTATATCTTCCTATGTATCAAATGAAATGAAATATTCACATTGTTCTTTATACCTCATGTTAGGTGGTCTGAAAGGCTTTATCACATGACATTCCGAGATATAATGCTCAAGCTGTCGCTTGTTTTCTTCGTTACACAGTCTACATTTAGATTCATCTGCACTTCTTGCACCGTGCAGTTGCTTGTACATTCTGTAACCTAAACGTATACTGGCAATAACCACGTCACATTGTCTGGTTCGACTTCGGTGCCACCCATAGGAGGGCTTGCTATCTCTATACTGACCGTACTGCCCTATGGTACAGCTTTCAGGCCGTTGAGTGTTCGTCAGATCTACTAGTTCTTCCTTAAGAGAACTTCAATATATGGGCAACACTAGCAAGAGGCATCCCGAGATCTATGTTCATAATAGCTTTGCTGCAAGCTTCCTTCGCCTAATTGTCTACGTGATCGTGCTTGCTTATGCCAACATGAGATGGTATTCATACAAATTGAATGTCGAAATTGCGCTCTATGGAACAAGTTACGTTACGCTTAATGCAACTTACAATTTCCTCATCGCTACCTGCTTTGAAAGAATTTAGTGTCCGGAGAAATTAAATATTCACATAGTTCTTTATATATCTATTAACTTGATGTTGTAAGAAATTTTTGTATACAGTACAAATACAACCAGCTTTGTATCCAGACTGTACGTATCCGTCAACGTTACACTCGTATACATCATCGCCCATAGACTGTGTGTGTTCCTTTACCGTTCTAATTCTAGGGGCGGTTTTTATTTTAGTGGCTGATGTGAAGGGCTCTTGTAGACAGATAATGGCAACATTATTATGAATGTAGTAAAGCAAGTCATTAATTCTACGGTTGACACCACGTATATTCCATGAGAGAAACGTAATTATTTTCTTGCCCGCCCCCCCCCCCCCCCCCCATCACACCCTATGATTAGTGGATTGGTCAAATTTGCGTTTGATGAGGCCCTTTAGTCTGCATATTTCTTGTACATATTTACATATCTGTGCTGCATCTTGTTTATTTACACCGATTCTGCGCGCTTTCCTCATATTGATATTATACGTATAATCCGTACCTGATATCATTTTCTGAGTGATGTCCCACAGTTCGTCCGTTTCCTGCATATCTCCGTCGGCGTTGTTTTCACTGTTACTGTCGTCGCCGTTTTCAGATGATTCGTCGATGGTATCTTGTGTAATAACATTGTCAGTCAGAGACCTCATTCGTATTTTCGACATCATTAGAAAGCATAGTTTCCCTGTCTATTCCCCGATCACTTTTTACTTGCATAAAGTTGACACGTAGGTCCGTTAAAGTTAAGTTAAGTAAGTTTATTTACCACCCTGGCTATCCGCTCAGGCGTGGGCAATCATGATTACAGCTTTACATATATCTGACACAGTACAGTAGTCTGTGACTACTGTAATAGTACATGGTAATATAGAAATATGTCATACATCATACAAAAATAATACGTTAATATGCTCTTGCCACTGTGCTTACATAACCCTGTGTTTTTTGTTTACGGCAGCTTTACATAGTAAATAGTTCTCTATACCTCATGTTAGGTGGTCTGAAAGGCTGTATCACATGACATTCCGATATATAATGCTCAAGCGTTCGCTTGTTTTCTTCGTTACACAGTCTATATTTAGATTCATCTGCACTTCTTGCACCGTGCAGTTGCCAATACATTCTGTAACCTAAACGTATTCTGGCAATAACCACGTCACATTGTCTGGTTCGACTTCGGTGCCACCCATAGGAGGGCTTGCTATCTCTATACTGATCATAGTGCCTTATGGTACAGCTTTCAGGCCTTTGAGTGTTCGTCAGATCTACTAGTTCTTCCTTATGAGAACTTTTCAATATATGTGCAACCCTAGCAAAAGGCATCCCAAGATCTATGTTCACAGTGTCTTTGCTGCAGGCTTCCTTCGCCAATTTGTCTACGTGGTCGTGCTTGCTTATGCCGACATGAGATGGTAGCCATACAAATTGAATGTTGAAATTGCGCTCTATTGCACAAGTTACGTTACGCTTAATGCAACTTACAATTTCCTCATCGCCACCTGCTTTGAAAGAATTTAGTGTCCGTAGAGCACTCTGAGAGTCACAAAACTACTCCAGAGCCCCGAGACATTAAGAATTCCGTTGCAAGGAGTATACCTGCCAGCTCCGTTTGTGTAGTGCTGGCCCAATTGTGCACTCTCATATTAACTTGATGTTGTAGTGAACCATTTTTGTATACAGTACAAGCACAACCAGCTTTGTATCCAGACTGTACGGATCCGTCAACGTAACACTCGTATACATCATCGCCCATAGACTCTGTGTTCCTTTACCGTTACTAATGCAATTTGTTTTAACACGCAGTTATGTACACTGTTTTTTTTTTTTTTTTTGTGGTAGACACGTAAGGTGCACGATCAATTGTGATTCTTTCCATGGTGGAATGGATCGACCCTGTGGTATTTTACTAATTGGGACATTGAACTTTGTAATGTTCATGGAAATTTTGTGTATTAGAGGGCGCGCGTGTGTGTGATTAGTCACGTCTGCTTGCGTGATTTTGTGCTGCAATTGTTTTTGGAAGTCTGAGAGATACAAGGGTTCCCTCAGAACTTTGACCCCAAATATAGTGGAAATGAACATTATTCTATCAGAGATGGATGGTAGGTTAAGTTCTGACCGGAACATCCGTAGAGTCTCCGATTTCCATCTTTTTTTTTTGTGTGCTTTTCAAGACAGAAATTAAGCTCGTGTTTTCAAAAAATCGATTTTTTAACACTTCATAAATGACTTTTTTCGATTTCTCCGGTTCCCCACGCATCCCCCGAGGTCTTTGGGTTGAGGAAACATTTTAAAAATCTGATTTAGGAACTTCGTCTCTGGGAGGGTAGCGTCGCTCTCGGTAACAATTACCCTTTTATTTATGTATTACCTAAAAAGCGGTTCTTTATTCGTTTTTTTTTTTTAACTTTTTCAACTATCCTACTTTTTATATTACCTTCAGATAAGCTAAAAAGGGTCATTTGGTGGGGAAATTTGCTCGTTTTTACAAAAAAAAATTTTTTGGTTTAAAAATCAAAGTTTTTGTGGGGGAAGTGGTGTAGGGGATATGGTGAAAACCAGGAAAATACAAACATTACATCTCTAGAATTCCCCCCTCCCCCCCGGGTTATGAAGGTTTCTAGTTACCGAGTTGTTGTTTTAAAGCTGCGTAGCATTAAGTTCCCGCCACGGCCTCCGAAGCAGTTGGTACACAGGCAAAAACAAGTAAACCTACCTTGCATATCACGGCAGTTATATATATTTGAATGTTCCTTTATTTCATGTCAGTTGTCACTGGTTTACAAGCTTTATGTTGCTTAAACGACAGCCGAGGAGGGTGTACCGATCGCTTGATACTGTAATTACTGTCAGTAGCGTAATTCTCGTTTCCAAGGACAATTACTATCATTTGTAAATGCAACCCATCAATAAAATATCTTTACTGTGTAATCAAGTAACGAAGCTGTATGTATTCCGATATTACTGTGTGTCTTGATCGGATCATCAGAAACGTTATATTTTCAAACTCAAAATTTATGCATTGACACTGTTTGTCAGTTAGATAAAATTAATCCCACAATTAACCGTAACTTTGTAGATCGTAATCGTATGGGTGAAAAATGGCTCATGTCCCAGTTGTTTTCCAGTAAATAAGTTAGTCATTTTGTTTTGCAGTGTGAATATCATGCTAATTCTCCCCCGAAATACAGAACGAAGCCAAAGAAGTATGACTGCCTAATTTTATCAACATCGGTGTCGGGGAAATTCCGTCATTCGTCAGCGAGTTAGACGCAGTCGTCCAATCTTGCAACTATTATCAGTGTGTGAATCTCTTGGTATTTTTCATTACAAACGATATAAATGTAAGTATTGGTAATGGAGTGATCGTAGCCTTCTGAGGTTGCCAGTCCCTATTACTCCAGTCATTTCTGGGAAATCCACAAACATTGCCTTATGAACCTAAAGATCTTCGTAAACTGGAGGCTTCCCCAAACACCAATCCGATCGCCATATTTTCCTAAAGGGGGCTTCGCTCATGGACCCCTACCCGTTTTCCGCGCGGCATTAGTTGTGACCTGTTTTCTTAATTTCTGACTTTTATTTTTTGCCTACGCGGATTATTTCAAGTATTAGTGAGTGTAGTTTTTTTCTCTTTGATTATCAATTGCCATTTTTTTCCTGTAAATGCATACCAAAGTATTATCAACTTGCAAAGGTAATACAATAGATGAAAAGCGTCTTACTTTCGGTCATTCTGCCCATTATAGGCAAAATTTACATTGCATTACATGGCTGTGGGAAAGAAACTATACCAGATTTTGTCTGAATTTAAAATTGCAAAAGTTTAGGCCACTTGATTGTATTCTTTCATTTTACAGTATTTGCCTGCATATCAAACACCTGTGTTTTCACTTTGAAACTTAACTATTTACTTCCACCTTTCGAAGTCGGCCACACCCAGAAATTTATCCCAATTTTAAAATTTACTATCGTTATCGAAAACCGTTCACCACTGATTATATTCCTTAGTCATACCATTTCAGAAAAAGTCAAGAACTAAATAGTTGAGTGAGTTGGAATCTGTCGCGTTCCTGTTTTTATCGTTATGTGACCGTGCTAACTAATAGCAATACAATGTACAGTTTGTGTGTAGCACTATAGTTTCCTCCTATTGTAAAGCCGCGTAAAATCGGGATTTTAGGCTTTTCTGTGGTTTGTTGTATTTTTGGCCTCTCATTTTTCCAGGAAAATTGGTTAAAGGGTCAATGTAGCATACGCTTAGGAAACCTCTATTCTTATATATATTTTATTTTTTGTAAATCAATTACATACGGTAATAAGCTAATGGAACAGTAGTTGTCGCCAAGTTCTCTGTCTCATTTCTTGTAAAAATAAGCAAAGGATCATTATACCAATCATTCGTATAAATTTCTTATTTTTCGAGTAAAAATCCAGTATTCTATGAAGATTATCAGTGTGGTGTAGATATAAAGCGATTTTCATTGATCTATTATCGAATACAGCCAACAAAATAGTTCCGATAGTAAATGTAAAAAAGTATATATATTGGTATATATTGTGTGTTTATGTATCATATATATTTATGCATTTATTTTAGAGAATGTATGTATATGTGCAACATATATACAGTAGATTTAGATTTATTTGTGTGTTAAAGAGTCTAGTATTCATGCGGCGAAGTATAAATGCAACGGCCAATCTCAACATGAAAAATATATACATTAAAATAAATATATTTCCTTTGTTTTTAATACTTTGAAGATTTTTTAAACTATAATAATAATAAAATAGAACTATAAAATATCACAGCTTATAATCAGGTAAAGGAGCGTATCCTCTCTCCTCGAGGGCTTTTGACGCGGATACAATCGCCGACCTGAGGATTTTCTTTTCGAAGATGCTATACGGATCATGGACTTTCTTTGCGCCCTTAAACGGTCCTTCGAGATGCCTGGCCAAGCACGCGAGTCGCTCTTCGTCCGGCTCGACCCTCAGGATGTGAAGGATCCTCCGGAGTTCCTTCAGCGGGTCCTTCAGAAGGTCCTCGTAATACAGGGTCGTTAGGTTTTCGTATTTCTCTGCGGCTTTGGCGATCATGCGGCTCCACTCCAGCGTTTTGGACCAGACGAATAAGTGGAATCCTGCAGGAAAGGAGATTTATATGGTTGGGACGTGTGTGGATATAAATATGATTACGCTCACGCTCACCAACACACAATCGCGAGAGATTTGTTTTGATGTTTAGGATGCTGTTACTGTCAATCATGATGATGATCCTCATTGAGAGCCCATCTGCTATTTAGCTTCGTTTCGAGGATAAGTAATTATTACATTTCTGAGAACTATTTTATTTAGTGTAATATTATGTAGAACTATTTTATTTAGTTGGTGAACATTAACCTTTAATTTGATTTCCATTCAGTGTATAATTGTCTTGAAGGACTGCACGTAGTCAATTTCTGTTAAACATGTACACCATATATAACCAAAAAAAATCCGGCATTTTCGAAAATCCGGCATTCCTCAAGTCCGAAAGTTGCCGGATAATTTTATGTCAGCCTGTGCATATACATATACATATTTATATACATATACATATAACCATACCAGGTGTTTTGTATCTAACTGCGGAAACGGATGCTTTATACTGGTCAGGATTCCCGCTTAGCTGCATCCAACTCCAGAACGAGATGATGGCTCTAAAACAGTGAAGGGACAGTTAGATTAGTTAACAGGCAGTAAATCAGATGCCTAAAAGTATGTTGACACTGGAATGAATTACTTGCACCATTATTTTTCTGTTGGCAGAATAATATCATTCCATTCATAGACAGGGGACTATCTATAACTGTGAGCTGTGTTAGATTCGTTTTGAGGCTGTGTTCAGATTTTTTTTTACCCCCCACCTCTCACATTCTCTCTCTCTCTCTTTCTCTCACGCACGCGCAAACATACACAACACACACGCACACAAAACACACACACATACACAAAACACACACATACATACACAAAACACACACACACACACACACTTCACACACACACGCACAACACACAAAACGCAAAAATACACACCTCACACGCAAAAATGCACACCCACACGCACCTCACACGCAAAAATGCACACACACCCACACCCACACGCACCTCTCACGCAAAAATGCACACACACCCACACCCACACGCACCTCACACGCAAAAATGCACACACACCCGCACGCACCTCACACGCAAAAATGCACACACACCCACACGCAAAAATGCACACACACCCACACGCAAAAATGCACACACACCCACACGCACACACACGCACACACACACACGCACACACACACACACACACACACACACACACACACACACACACGCCTCACACGCAAAAATACACCCACACGCACCTCACACACATACACACGCACCTCACACACAAAAACACACACACAAACACGAGCAAACACACAAGCACAAAATCCTCCACTCCGAAAACTGCCACGTAAGAAATTACAGTACCGAGCGAAATTTATCGTTAGCCGAAGGCGTAAGTGACGCACACACCCACACGCACACACACCCACACGCACACACACACACGCACACACACACGCGCACACACCCACACGCGCACACACCCACACGCGCACACACCCACACGCGCACACACACACACACACACACACACACGCACACACACACACACACACACGCACACACACACACACACACACACGCACGCACCTCACACACAAACACGAGCAAACACACAAGCACAAAGCCCTCCACTCCGAAAACTGCCACGTAAGAAATTACAGCACTGAGCCGAAATTTATCGTTAGCGGAAGGCGTAAGTGACGTCAATAACAGCAAGGCAATTTCGGAGAGCGCAGGAGTCTTCTCGCTAACCTGTGAGGGTCCCGGATCAGCAGGATGACAGGCTGGGAGGTATTCTTGATCCATTGAGCGTCGTGGGTCTTCTGCAAGAGTGTGGTTCCTGCGTCAATAGCCTCCCGTTCGCCTAGGAATCCTGTTGCGGAGAGAGGGAGGAGGGGGGTCAGCGTTGAATGAAGAACATGACGTTTAGGTATTCATTATTGTTATTTTTCTCTTTTTATGAAGTTGTAGTTTGTCAAATCGTTTTGGAGGAAATGGGGATTTTAAGTCTTGTCATTATAATAAACGTGATGTCTCATCATGATAGTGTTCTTATGCCAATTTATATAGATTGGACCATTAAAAGTGGGTTTGTGGCTACATATATTTACTCGTGTGTGTGTGTGTGTGTGTGTGTGAATGTAAATGTAAATGTAGATGTAAAAGTATATGAACAATATTGTATTGTGCAGGATTCGAGACGAAACTGCTCTCATTCTTGCATACATATTTCAGATAACTTAGATGTGCAAACAGGCACGCTTCCACGCCTGCACATCTTGGGAAAATAAAATCGGATAAAACATAACCAAAATAAGAACTGTAAAATAAATCGAATCCTGGGCAAAGAAAACTACGACGCTGTGGACATATTTAATAAAGAAAGAATTGCCACGAACAATGTTTTTGCGAATTTAGGATCAGACGCCTTGTTCTTAAATTGGTTATCTTTACTCCCCAGAAGTGATGACTCATAACACATCATAGATCACTGAAGGGCAAAACGAAATGATTATCAAAACAAGTAGCACAAGAGTAAACACAACCTAACCTAACCAGGAAAACAAGTAATCATAATAACACAAACTGCAACACCAACGTCGCTCTTAACATCAGTAATGAAAATAGCATTCATAATAACAGCACCAAAACACTCAAATCAAACTTACCGAGTCGAACGAGCAACTTTTCGTGATAAACTGACGTCGTGAAGACCCCCGTGGCAGCCTCTACCAGATAACGGGTCCAGGTGTTGCCAGAGCGAGGGAAGGAGAGGAGCCACGTCGGGCTGATGCCTCGGCCAGGCCTCACCGTCAGCCTGGGCATAGAAGGGAGTCTAGTGTAGTAATCGGGCATGAGTTTGCATGAGTCGAAGGCGTGGGAAGTTAAGGGGAGAGTGGATACGATTCAGAAAGTAATTCATAAAAAAGTGATTCACGCGTAAACACACAAAGGTACATATACACTTATGCTTAGGCATATTTAGATATGGATGAACTGACAGGCATTCTCACTATAAATGTAAATAACGGAATGTTAAACATCTTTAAAAATATTAAGGTCTAGTAAAAAAAAAAAATCTTTGTGTACAGCCCCCGCTACATAATCACATTCACCGCAATACGCTTCTTTTATTTCTCCTTTTTCCTGGAAGGGGTAACGGTACGAAGAGTAGTCGCTCGCAACCGCCCATACACGTTCCCGCCATTTAAAAAATATGACTCGGCATCATGGCTTCCCTGGGTCCGCCAAATCGACCAAGTTTTGTGCAGAAACCCTAACGAGTGTTCAGGTGGCGCCCAGAGACAGGTGCTGACAGTACGAAGTACTGGCCTTGTAAGGAAAAACGAATATCACTTGTACAATTGCATGTTAAATGCTTGTAGTTTTACCTGTCACACTGGGTGTCGTTGGGCCAGAGTTGTCGTGAAGACGTTGTCATGTTGATATTCAGGTTGCGATATTGAATAGTTACGGCTTCTGAAAATATTTTTATTTTTTAAGATTTTTACGTTTAACCCGAACATGAAACCTGTAGGCCTACAACATGCAACGTTAATATGAACTGAACATCTCAAGCAATGGTTCCCAACTTTTTCACCATCAGGAAACCCTCCATACTAATTTTCCCGAGGACGACTATTCAGCAAGACGATTTTACTAAGTAACCAAAACTCGCTCTACAAGCTTTATCTCTCATTTTAAAAGACTTAAGTGACAGTATTTAAGTCAATACATTTTAAAAGTTCTGAACTCTTCATCAGTCTTATCGTGAATAATTTTTACATTAAATGCCGGGGCCTCTTGAAATATTTAACTGAACTTAATCTAAACTCTATCATTAGTTGTTAATAAGAGTACAGCAGTTGTTTCCAATCTTTTTTTAACCTCCCTTGATTCATGCTTGATTCATATTTTTCAAATGTAATTTTCATCTCTGTCAATCTGGGGGTCGTGCCTCTATAAGCCCCACAGACTGGAAACCACTGCAGTACAGAATTCGTCTTAATCACCGAAAACTGCAGAAATCGTTTTGCTACGACACTGAAGCTTACCTGAAGATCCTGAATTAGCGTTCCCTCCGTCTATAGGCTGGATGTGGGTGCGATGGAAGCCCACTGCATCATCCATGGTAATACTCCCTGTGGCACTAACGTTCGGCCTCATATAAGTAATTCTATGGCAACGGTATGTGAACAGAGCTGCCCCCACTGCCACGCATATCAGGCCTACCCTGAATCCCACTCCGAAACTGCACTGACCTGAAGAAAAAAATATAAACTAAATCTGAACTAAAATGGTGCTTAACCTTTTATCTACCCCCCCCCCTTTAGGTATTTGCTTTTGCATCTGTAAATAAAATTCCCTCCCAGATTTTAAAGAAAATTATGTTTTGTTTGTCTCTTTAATGAGTATGAATTAAGCGCATTATAATTAGACTTTCCATTATGTGACCATGCTCTCGTTAAGAGAATAACAAAGATAATTGCTGAAATGACTGCCTTTTTCCAAGATAAGAACCAAGTAAATCAAGCATATAAAACACAGATACCACGCCATATGATACTGATCGCGAGGCCAGTATCCCGTGGCGCTTCCTCGAACTCGGGAACACCTTCAGTTTTCTTGTCACTCCTGCAATGCATAAACTGCTACTTATTTTGACTTTACCCTCATATTTTATTTTTTGCCTGGCCGGTTTCTCCCCATACAATATGCCGGTTAGCAAGCCATTTTATTTTTAACACTTCATTTAAAACTAGATAACGAACAGACAGCAAGCACCGACAAAAGATTTCTTAAAATTCTTTTCTGTCATTTTAGACCTCTGGGATATAGCTATTTATATATATATATATATATATATATATATATATATATATATATATATGTATGCACTCGCCTGTTAGCTTTTCACTCTGGCAGCTCTACATATACAACCTTTCTTTTTATTCACACGTGTCAATATTCCGGGTATGTATGGATAAATGTATGTGTGCGCGCGCGCGCATGTATTTGTGTTTCTATATATTAATATTTATATATTATACATATATGGGGGGAGCTTCCGTTGAAAACTATTATTTTGATAAGATAACTCACTAAGCAACATTGCTTATGCATAGATGACGAAACCAGAAAGGGCAAGTACGCTTGGCCAGCACCCTTCCTTTTCTCCCACAAGCTGAGCGTAAACTGCTTCAGCGGCCGTTTCGGCGCCGAGAAAATCCACGAAAAACTAATTGGCAACTGCAACGAGAGTACTGTCTATTCTTATATATTAATTCTCTCATTTTTCTTCTTATTGTTGGTCGTATATTATTACATATTTTAGCAGCTGTCGAACATATCTTCCGTATATCCTCGAGTAATTAACGAAAAGAAACTATACCACACACACACTGTCAGCCAACATGAGCCATTTCATTCACATATTCGTAAGTTCATAATACAAATACATCAACTTTTTTTTCCCCAGAACACGTTTAATATTCTACATCATCTCTCTTTTCAGTTCAAACTCCTAACGTCAAGTCCTTAATGGTTCTCGCAGTTACGGCCGCGCTGATGTGTACTCTTCATGTCACTTATAATTCACACAACTATATATATGTACCACCAACAGGTAAGGACTTCCAGTTTTACGTGTTCTTGGGTTCGGGCATTTTTTTTCTTTTCCTGTTTTTATGTGATTCTTCAAAGGGAATAATGATCGCTGTTGTTGTTGTCAATAATTTTAGTTAGGGGTGTTGTTGTTAATAATTTTAGTTAGAGGTGGTGTTTTTTCTGTTGTTAGTAAAATTATCATAATCATTATAAATACTCTCATTGTCTTTATTTTTAGTATCGTTCATATCATCATTACCGTCCATTCATTATGGTGATCTAAGTCCTTATCAATTCTTATTATTATTGCTCAAAGTTATTCGATTTTTATAATAATAGTCGTTGTTATCATTGATATCCTCATTTCTCTTTTTTTTTAATTAATAAATGTATTAAGTTTTACTACTGATACTTGCTATTGGTGCAGTTATTTTAATGATGCCGAGAATTATTATTAATTATCGTTATATTTTATTACCGTCGTCGTCGCCAATATCATCCCCACCATCACCATCATTACCAGCAGCAGCACCATCATCAACATTACCATTATAATCATTATCATCACCATCATAATCATAATCATCATAATTGTCACCATCATCATAATCACCACCACCTAGATTATTGCATTGAAATATATTGTCATTGTGTATGTATGTTATAAACCATATCATTATTATTTTTTGACAGCAGTAATGGTAATCTTACTTACGATACTCATAATAACGAGTTTCCTGATCTGAACTATGTCGAGAGGGTAAAAAAGCATGGGTATGAGATCCATAAGAACATCTGTCGCTGACCTGACCCCAGGTGGCCAAGGGAAATATGACCAGTGGTCCCCAGGCCCTGCTGACCTGACCCTCAAGCTGCAGAGAGAGAGGTCAGCTTGGAGGCCTGGAAGCCGCCGCAGGCGACCACGCCCTTGGGCAAGGTAAAGGGAAAAATGACCAGTGTCCCAGGCGGCCACGCCCACGTGAAGGTCGGGCATTAGCAGTTTCTTTAGCCACGCCTCTGTAGCTCCGCCCTTGGCTTCCAGTCACCGCTACTTATTCTCCAAGGATGACCCTGTCAACCCAGAGTGTTCTGCGCCGCGGTCAAGGTCACGATCTGACCCGCGGCCAGGTAGCCGTTGGCAGGGCTTGCCACCTAGGCGCCCTCGCCTTAACCCAAGCATTGTCATCGTTGTGTTAACATCTCGTGTGCTAGCTCTATCAATAAAAGAGTTTTTAGCCACCAAGCTTTTACTACTTCCCTGTCACCAATGTTTAGAGGACCCTTATTTAACCCTTACAATGGGAATTTCTACAGCTAGGATATTTCAGATTTTTTTTTTTTTTGTGTGTGTGTGTGTGTGAGAGAGAGAGAGAGAGAGAGGGGGGGGGGAGCGTGCGTTCGTGCATGCATGCATACATGCGTGCACATTTTCGCGTTCGTTCTTATCTGTGTTTTTAGTGATAATTTTCGAGTTTGTTTCTTAATCTACTCTGTATCCCATAAATTAAACCACAGTTTTCTGCATATCTCCTTCCAGCAACGACGTCGAAAATGAAAGCTGCAGTTGTGTATGGACCTATGTTAACAAACGCAACAAGGAAGGGAAGAGAACAAGTCACTAACGTGCCAAGATTAACTCGTAAAAATACAAGAACAGAAGAGGCGACGGATACACCCCCTGGGATATCAACGGCGAGAACAGAGAATAAGGAACCGTTACCGATAGGTGCTCGAGGCAATGTACCCATTCCATTTCTACAAGTCACTCTCCCAGCAACGTCGCAAACACTCCACAAGTCACTGCTCGAGACAAACTCTACATACCGAACAGCGAATGCAAATTTTACCCATATGGACTCTCAAACCCTGACTGAAACGGACTTGAAGATGGAGCCGAGTCAACAACCGGCGTCCGAACCCCAGGCGACGGCCTCGGCGCAGAACCTTACCGTCATCCAGCGTGACTACTCTCGGAAGCCGTCCGTGCTCTGGCCGCAGGACGCGAACTGTTCGAGGTATTATTCTTATTGGCATTGCTGTTTCATTTTAATTGTTATTACTATTATCACAGACTATAACTCCTCTACTTAGAATTATAATAAGCATTACTGCCATCTCAAAACGGAGGAGGTGGTATTTTGCCAGCTATCTGTTCAATAATTTGTTTATCATCAAAATTGTGCAAAAAATTACAAATTAAACAAAAATAATTTGACCATTAAATAGCGACCAGTTGATTAGTATTTGGTTGTGATCCGGATCGGAGTACGGATTTTGGATCCAGTTAAATGATTATTATTGGGAATGGGTCTGCTTGAAACTTTTTTCTCTTTGAAATGTGTTAAATCTCGTTGTTTTGAAGCTGAATTTCCGTGAGGTGGTGGAGGTCTGCATTCTAAGCTATTACTATTCCTTTATTTTTATCATGACAAGATATGACTACCAACATACCGTAATTATTAATATAATTATCTTTTTCATCGCTCTCATCGTCATCATTATTAACATTTGTATTGTACAATTATCATTATAATTCTTATTGCATAATCATCCTTGATAATCGTAATTACATGATTATCATTGTAATCCTCATTTCTCTTTTTTTTTTAATTAATAAATGTATTAAGTTTTACTACTGATACTTGCTATTGGTGCAGTTATTTTAATGATGCCGAGAATTATTATTAATTATCGTTATATTTTATTACCGTCGTCGTCGCCAATATCATCCCCACCATCACCATCATTACCAGCAGCAGCAGCAGCACCATCATCAACATTACCATTATAATCATTATCATCACCATCATAATCATAATCATCATAATTGTCACCATCATCATAATCACCACCACCTAGATTATTGCATTGAAATATATTGTCATTGTGTATGTATGTTATAAACCATATCATTATTATTTTTTGACAGCAGTAATGGTAATCTTACTTACGATACTCATAATAACGAGTTTCCTGATCTGAACTATGTCGAGAGGGTAAAAAAGCATGGGTATGAGATCCATAAGAACATCTGTCGCTGACCTGACCCCAGGTGGCCAAGGGAAATATGACCAGTGGTCCCCAGGCCCTGCTGACCTGACCCTCAAGCTGCAGAGAGAGAGGTCAGCTTGGAGGCCTGGAAGCCGCCGCAGGCGACCACGCCCTTGGGCAAGGTAAAGGGAAAAATGACCAGTGTCCCAGGCGGCCACGCCCACGTGAAGGTCGGGCATTAGCAGTTTCTTTAGCCACGCCTCTGTAGCTCCGCCCTTGGCTTCCAGTCACCGCTACTTATTCTCCAAGGATGACCCTGTCAACCCAGAGTGTTCTGCGCCGCGGTCAAGGTCACGATCTGACCCGCGGCCAGGTAGCCGTTGGCAGGGCTTGCCACCTAGGCGCCCTCGCCTTAACCCAAGCATTGTCATCGTTGTGTTAACATCTCGTGTGCTAGCTCTATCAATAAAAGAGTTTTTAGCCACCAAGCTTTTACTACTTCCCTGTCACCAATGTTTAGAGGACCCTTATTTAACCCTTACAATGGGAATTTCTACAGCTAGGATATTTCAGATTTTTTTTTTGTGTGTGTGTGTGTGTGTGTGTGTGAGAGAGAGAGAGAGAGGGGGGGGGGGAGCGTGCTTTCGTGCATGCATGCATACATGCGTGCACATTTTCGCGTTCGTTCTTATCTGTGTTTTTAGTGATAATTTTCGAGTTAGTTTCTTAATCTACTTTGTATCCCATAAATTAAACCACAGTTTTCTGCATATCTCCTTCCAGCAACGACGTCGAAAATGAAAGCTGCAGTTGTGTATGGACCTATGTTAACAAACGCAACAAGGAAGGGAAGAGAACAAGTCACTAACGTGCCAAGATTAACTCGTAAAAATACAAGAACAGAAGAGGCGACGGATACACCCCCTGGGATATCAACGGCGAGAACAGAGAATAAGGAACCGTTACCGATAGGTGCTCGAGGCAATGTACCCATTCCATTTCTACAAGTCACTCTCCCAGCAACGTCGCAAACACTCCACAAGTCACTGCTCGAGACAAACTCTACATACCGAACAGCGAATGCAAATTTTACCCATATGGACTCTCAAACCCTGACTGAAACGGACTTGAAGATGGAGCCGAGTCAACAACCGGCGTCCGAACCCCAGGCGACGGCCTCGGCGCAGAACCTTACCGTCATCCAGCGTGACTACTCTCGGAAGCCGTCCGTGCTCTGGCCGCAGGACGCGAACTGTTCGAGGTATTATTCTTATTGGCATTGCTGTTTCATTTTAATTGTTATTACTATTATCACAGACTATAACTCCTCTACTTAGAATTATAATAAGCATTACTGCCGTCTCAAAACGGAGGTGGTGGTATTTTGCCAGCTATCTGTTCAATAATTTGTTTATCATCAAAATTGTGCAATAAATTACAAATTAAACAAAAATAATTTGACCATTAAATAGCGATCAGTTGATTAGTATTTGGTTGTGATCCGGATCGGAGTACGGATTTTGGATCCAGTTAAATGATTATTATTGGGAATGGGTCTGCTTGAAACTTTTTTCTCTTTGAAATGTGTTAAATCTCGTTGTTTTGAAGCTGAATTTCCGTGAGGTGGTGGAGGTCTGCATTCTAAGCTATTACTATTCCCTTATTTTTATCATGACAAGATATGACTACCAACATACCGTAATTATTAATATAATTATCTTTTTCATCGCTCTCATCGTCATCATTATTAACATTTGTATTGTACAATTATCATTATTAACATTTGTATTGTACAATTATCATTATAATTCTTATTGCATAATCATCCTTGATAATCGTAATTACATGATTATCATTGTAATCATAATTGAATTTCATGTTATTGTTATCATCATCATTATGAAAAGTAATATTAAGATTAGTAGTTGTCATTGTTGATATCGAAGGGTCAGAATTAATTCTCATTATATTCATTATTCTCATTAAATTACTATCACGATTACTTTCAGCTGATAATGCAGGTATTTTTATCGCTATTCTTACTATATTCAGCATTGCCATTGACTCCATCATCCCTCATTTGTCCTGTCAACATTTGCAGTCTATGGTTATCATTTTCACCACTGTCTTCCATAACCAGTATCATCATTATGAGTATATAACCATCGATACTACTAATACAGTTATAAGTTGTGGTTCGGGCTACGGGTACCCAGCACGTGGCTTCTCTCCTTTCCTCGCTCGGGCAATACGTGGACCCGTTACCTGCTGGAGGCTGCTGCGGGCGTCGTCACCGGCTCCGTTTATCATTCCAATTATCTCAAAGGCTTAGGTATTGTGCGTCGTCCATTGTTTAATGTGGTCATATCTGAGCAGAAGGGTGAGACGAGATATTTTTTTCTTACGGACATGTGGATATTTTTTAAATTTCATTTATTTGTTTTTATTTCTTTTATTATTTTTTTCTTTTTTTTTCCCTTTCATTTTCTCTTCTTTTCTTTTATATTTTCCTTTCTCTTTCATTTTCTTTTGATTCTCCTTTCATTTTCTTTTTCTTTACTCTTTCTTCTTTTTTTTTCTACTCTTTCTTTCCTTCTCTCTTCTCCTCTCCTTATTTTAATCATATCAGTCATGAGGACGAGCCTGAGGGTGCCTGCTACTCGACAGGTTACATGGGCGAGGACGACCCTCTGTGGTGGCGAACTTCCCTCGTCATCAAGACTCATTCACTCCTTCCTCTTCGCATCCATCCCGACTACCCTGTCATAGCTGTCATCAGGAACCCCGCCAGGTATCTATGACAGGAAGTGTATGCTTTTCTCCTTTTCGCTAATAAATTTGCCTCCATATTGATTTCTTATTATTTTTTTATACTATGCCTACATTTTTTCTTGTCATTATTATTTCTTAAGCAGACAATTTCCGGGTACACAACCATTAAAAGATATGTACTATGTTAGAGCAGATGGCAAATATGTAGTATTTTCACCATAGTTAAACAAAATCTTCGGAATCGCGTTGAATGTTCATCAAAGACACATTGGCATTGGTAATTCCGTTTGTTTGTTTGATTTCCCAAGTTTATTCCAGATGCTGACCCTGTTAATCAGTCGACACGGTCATGGTTAGGACTCATGTCACGCGATGTTAGCGTTACAAAAATAGTATGGCTCAGAAATACGTGTACTGTTATACCATGTGCATTATAAGCAGCACTTTCATCAAGAATATTCACAGTGTGTAAACCAATATGAGAGCACAAAGATCTGGGTATAACTATTCCTGCAAATTCAGATCGCTTATTGTCGGTCCAGTCGTAACTTGTACAATTTTGGTACTACAAATTAAATGCTGCACTTACACGTGCCAGCTGTTTTGTTCCAGTTTGCTGGAACCCATTATTCAATGGTAGTTGCCAGAACATATTGCTTATGAATCTGCGGAAGGGACAAAGCGTACCTGATCTTATATTTTTCTTTAATAGACTGATCAACTCTGATTTCTCCAATATTGAAGGATATAAAGCATGATAATATACGACCGACAGTGCGGAGGATAGGCGAGTCTCCGAAAACATACATAGTTTTTGCCAACAAAAATTATGAATGGCTCCGACATTTATGTTTAGATTTCTAAAGAGACACTTATTCCAAAGCGTTCGTATCAGTGGTAGCAGTCTAGCGCTATGAAATTTACATGAAAAGTTAATATTGGCAATGTAATAGAATTGACAGCCTTCATTTTTTCAAATGAAATTATTAAGCCACACTACCGGTCCTCTAGCTGCTATCAAAAGCAAAGTGGAGGCATTACCAATTGACAAGGCAGCTAATAATCTGCATTTAGTTGTTGAATATACATGATTAAATGCATTACCTTGACATATTCCAAGCTCAAACACCAAAGACCTCCTTTGCGCGAGTATGGTCTCTGGAAGAGTCAACCTGAAGTGCAGGATTATCCTCAGGGTATCAAATCTAGTGCCTGCATAGTCCGCATGCTGCGAGTAACACACCCTAAACACATGTCTCATGATGAAGCCATTGACTGATGACATAGCCCTGCCAACTGTATTCCATGATCCAACTTAAGGACTTCTTGCAATAGGCATCAAGGCATGGCTTTAAGTCTCAAAATAGTTTTTTTTTCTATAATAGCAATAGCAAGTTCTTTAGGATGAATAGCTTGGTCCTTTGATACATGTGCCAAGTTCTCCTGATACTTCTATCATGGCCAAGAATCCTACCCATTTGTTGACTTCGTGGTCCAACAACATCGAGTCATAAGCGACACTTTCAAGCTATGCATAACATGACTACCCTTGCCACTAGCCCATACTGGCTAATCGTGTTCTTGTAACAGAGCAAAATCTCAGGTCTTGGTCTTGGTCCACAAGACCTCAAAACCGAAGGGTTCTCTTCGGCTGATAAATTCATCGAGAGTTCTCGATGGGGTAGGCACATGCCAAATGACACATAGCATCGATCTATAGGTACTGTAAGTCATCACCATGTTTCCACCCAACCTTCATTTGCAACACTAGAACGCAGGCCTAGGAGTGCAAACGCAGATACTTGTTTTTCTGTCTCTCTGGTCTGGTGTCAAGATGCTATAACGACTACGTTAAAATCATAATCGATACTTCCCAGCTGAGTTAAGTCATCGTTGTTTCAATAACCAACGGCTCACCAGAACGAAAAAAACTTCCTTACGCATGCAAAACACCGGCACGTTGATTTCTCAGATTTCTCACTGAAGAGAACGGACGCTTGCTACAACTTTGTGAAAAAAAAATAGTATCCGGTAAAAAAAGTGAAGTTAAGTTGAAAACTGTTGTGTTAAAAGTGTTTTTTGCAGAGTATAAGGTCGTGTTATATGGCGCCACGTTGATGGCGAAACCACAACTCGGCTGGAATGACAATCTTTTTAGTGCTTCATTCCTTGGACTTTTATTGTGCATTGACTACCTCATACTGTGCACTCCATCGTCAGCCTCATCCGGTTCATCAGCGCGCGCGCAGTAGGGTGACTGGCATGCTGTATGATACCGATTTCTTCCAAAGCCGAGTGGTTCGTGGTGTGCCCATAACAATTTCCGTGCTGAGAGAGACATGGTTTTTCCTTTAAACTAAGTTAAGGACCTATAACCTCTCAAAAAAGGAAGACTTTATTCATCAAATGAGTGACTTTTTGTAGTGCCATTGCTGAGGAACACGGCGGTTCGACCGCTACGAAGCAGTCGTAGGTCCGTGGTCTCAGAAGGTACACGTGTTTAATATACTTCTTAATAAAAAATGCAGTCCTCATTCCAGGTCGCCAGAGCTCTGTTTTTATAAGCTAGCTGTCGATTCCGTGGACAATGGCCTTTTTATCGCAATTCAAACCTTATGATACGTTTTGGACTTTCCTGTTATGTAAATAATTAAATGAATAAAATGATTATATAATGAAAAGTAAAATATGGAAATTTCATTTTTTCAAAGAATGCTTATCTGTTTTTACAGATGGCATCTACTTCAAACACTAAAACATTTGCTCCTGAGAGCAAGTCTGCTTTAATCTGCAGGGAAAAGACCAGATCTGTAGCGCAAGATCATTGCCCTGTGCTTCTTCGGGCTGCTTTAAACCTCGACACTGTTCAGTTGCCAAAAATGGTTACAGATAGTACAAATGCACCCTCTAGATGACCCACTATCGAAAGAGTGGAAGCTAATCAAGAAACAATACTTAAGAGCAGCTAGGAAGACAAGGGAGTCTGTATCTGTTCTTCCTCAGGCATCTTCATAATTTCACAAGCTTTTCATGGCTTCAGCCTTATGTGGCCAAAAAGGTGTCGCACGTTCATCGGAATCTTCTATTTCTGCTTAACCAGTTCCAGTTCAGTCCCAAGCTTCTTGTAAATCGCATACAAAGACACTTTCTAATCATGAAAAGCAGTCATCTCGGGACAAAGAGCGAACCAGATTGAGCTACTAGCCAAAACGATTGTACTTTCACCTAAATCACATGAAAGTCCAAAGCATTTATCCTGTTACTCTTTTCTAAAGTCATCACGAAGATCGTTTTCAATTCTATTAATGTCAGCAAGAGCAATTTACCAGAATCCTGATTTTGGTCCTGGGTTGTAAAGTAAAGTCTAGAAGAAGCAGCGGTAAAAAGAATAGAACTACGTGAAAGCATGATTCCTATGACTAAGATGAAAATTAAATTGGATCTCTTCAGTAACACACCCTATCATGGACTACCTTGTGGCGAGGAACACATAGTTTAATCTCTGAGTAAAGAGATACTGCAATCTGTAGAAGTTAAGACTCCAAACAACGTTTTCCATTTATTGTATCAAGCGCCACCAACTTCTAAAGTTAAGATCTAATTCTCCTCAGTGTTCCTTGTTTTCACAGGGATGTCATCAATCTAGTTATACAACAAAATCTTCCCGTAAAATTATAGATCTAAAAGTCTGGAAGGTGCAGCTTCTAAATCAGCAACTTTGTATTTTCAAAATAATACAATAAGTGGAAATGAGAAGATATATTTCAGTAATCACCGAGACAATTCCCCCCCCCCCCCCCCCCCCGGAAAAAAGGGACTCAAGTTGGACTGACTTCTGGGTTGGCAAGAGTCATAGCCCGCAGGATGAGCTCAACATTTCCTTTGGCCTTCAGTGGCACTAGTAAAAGTCGCCCTCCTCCACTATGGCTTCCCTGCCCTCAAAAATCTTCAGCTTCAATATTAAATAGAATCCGCAAGTTACTAGCCAATTCAGTGGTGGAGGTGACAAGAAAAAAGGTATTTCTAAACTGAATATTCAAAGTACCAAAGGATTCGTCAGAATTAACTCATCCTCAATGCAAGTCAATTGAACAAGTATATTCAACCATACTGGTTTCGGTTGGTGTCTATGGCTGAAGTACATCTGACACTATAACAAGGGATACATCTTGCTTCAGTCAACAGACGATGATCATTGTTATATTTCCATGCACCCACCATTCAGACCATTTCTAGAGGTGTCAGTAGGGGAGAAGACTTATCAATTTTGAACCCTTCCATTAGGACTGAACATAGCTCCATGGGTATTTATGAAATTAATGCAATCTGTGGATAGGAAACTCCTCCAGAGAGGAGTTCATGTCTTAATGTATCTCAACGATTGGCTCATAACTGAACAGTTGCATGAAGACTGCAAAAGGATTTTAATCTACACAGACTAGAGGTGGGTACCTCCATCTACAAAAATCTCACTCCAACCCTTCAATGTTACTATAGTGACATTGAGCAGCTGCCTGAGTTCAGTCAACAGGAAAGTGCTGAAAGAAAGTTTTCCAAAATTTTTGTCAACCATTATATCCCATTGAGAGTGGTAGTGTCCTGGAGTCATTAAATCATGCAGCAGAAATAATTCCTTTAGAAAGAATTCATCTAAGGCATCTACAACTTGAAGGATGTGCAGTGTTCACTTCAGACAATCTAGACAAGATGGAACTTTTTCCTTGTCACTTTTACACCAATCTACGTTGGTGGCTGAGGAGGAAACGTCTAATGTCTCTCCATGGGTTCTCAAAACTCCTTCTTTAACTCTAACAACAAATGCATCAGACTGGGGATGGGGGGCTACCAGTCATCAGCAGGACAACAAGAATCAGGATTTTGGAGAAAATCAGTGAGAGGAGGGTATATAAATGCAAGGTAACTACAAGTATCAAGGCACTGCATCTGGAGAACTCCTTCCTAGATATGTCAACTTAAATTCTGTTGGACAATGTTGCAACTATTTATTGTATAAATAAAAAAGGCTCCCCCTGTTCAAAGACTCCTAAAATCACCAGATATTCTTTCATATTGTGAACCAATGTTGACTCCACCATACTGCATCTCACCTAGAAGGGAGAAAAAATTCAGTGGGCAGATGCATTATCACATGAAATCACATCCTCAGTAGAGTGAGATCTGGAACAGGAAGTGTTTCTGAAGCTCACACAAAAGTACAGTCATCCCCAGATCAATCTTTTTGCATCTCACTCCAATCACAGAATCAAGATACATTTGACAATATCAGAAGTGACTGTAGAAGGAAGTCCAGATGCTATTCTGAAAGACTGGAACATATGGCAGTCAATATACCTGTTTCCCACTTTACTAACATCAGTAATGCTTCAGGTGATCAATCACTTGAGACTTTACAAAGGCAAAGATTTATTGATTGCCCCTCTGTGGGAAGTACAACCATGGACACAATATCACCTTCACTGGTGTCCTCATCCATTACCACTGTCAGGGAAACTGCTTCAGGAAACTCTGATGGACAGTGTCACAGAATACTTGTGTCTACATGAGTTTCTATGTACAGCCTTAAGCAAAAATTTCCAGCTTTTACAAATAGAGGACCTTATCAAAGGACATCGACCTTCTACCATTAGACAGTATGTCTGCATGGTTAAAATTTTAAAAATTCATCAGAGAGACAAGACCTGTCTATCTCCAAATATATTAATTCAGTTTGCTTCCTCTTTATTCCATTCATATAGCAGCAATCATAGATCCACTAAGATATGAAAAGGATGAAAGATTCATGGAATTGCTTCATAATGACATTCCTTCATGGAAAGTTCTGGATTTCTTCTCATGACATTGGTATTCTGTAGATACACCTCCTATGGATGTGCTTCACGAAGCAATATTCCTTGTTGCTCCTACAACATGTTTGCACGTTTCTCAACTGGCAGACCTCTCACGTTCTCCTTCTCTGACACAGTTTGGTCCAAATAATTTATATGTTTTTTACTCCTCATCCTAGTTTTCTAGCAAAAAAATGAATGGCAAGGACATGTTTGGGAACCTGTAGTAATTCCATCATGGTTAGAAAATAAGCCCTCATGTTTTATGCCCAGGAGCAGCTTTGAAATGTTATATAGAAGCAACCTCAGTAGATTTTAATGAAGCACTATGGTTATGGCTAGATTCACTTAGGCCATGCACCCAACCTTACATAGCCAAGATAATTAGAAGGATAATTGAATCTGCTGATCCAGGTCATGCTCCAACAGCTCACCAATATAGGAAGAATGTTTCTACTCTTACTTTGAGATCTCTAAATCTCGAAAAAGTGAGACAGTCAGTGGTTTTCATGTAGATTCTTTGTTAATCAATACATGACAACGCATTTACACGACGTCCCTTGTGTGGCAATGACTATGCCACCTAACCAGGCATCTCAATAAATGGGACTAATAGTATATATTTTTTTCTTTTTTGAAGTTAATATATTTTATTCCCCATATTCAATTGCTTTTTAGCATCTTGACACCAGACCTGTCAAATGTCTTAATATATCAGAGCAACATGTTAATGACACCGGTATGTGTTTATATGACCTCATCATTTCACTCGTATACAGGGCACACAGGCATATACAAAAAAAACAAAACCGAAAACAAAACCAAAAATCTCATGCATGCATGTGCATACTTTGAAGGGTATACTGATCATTAGTGCAGTTGTAAACCTCGTTTTGCCATGGTTGATGCATGTGAAAGTGCTTCCTTTGGTCACTTACGAAAATACATAGCTTGATATACAAGTATGTAGCTATCAATAGTGTAGGCATGATATCTTCATACAAAAATACTTGTTAAATGCAATATGACAAGAACTTTAAATATCTAGTTACTAGAATATCTCAAACAAGGAAAATAAACTTTGCACAAAAATCAACATAATTGAAAATAGGCAATATATTTTTCATTCTTGAGTGTCAATAGTTGAAATAAACTTACTAAAAGAATAAATATATATAAAGTAGTATATTTTGAAGGCCAGTATGTGTAGTGACATATAATATGTACCATCACCTTTTTCATCTAGTCAATGTATAAATTCTAAGATAGTAGGTATATATATATATTTATTTTTGTAAGAAGAAACCCCTTAGGATTGTGTGAATATACATTGATTTTACCACAATGAATTCCAACTAGAGTTATAACTGATGGAATGGAATAAGTATTATATTATTTCCCCATTTGTATATAGTGCATGATATAATAATTCCCATTTATGATTTATTTCTCTTCCTAAAAAAAACAAGAAAAATGAAGACTACTTATTTCTTTACATATTTTCCCACAGGTCTATCCTGTCCTTTTGGAATTATTGGAATATAGAAGCAGATTCACAAAAATTTACTGGCTCCATTGATTATTCTTATTATTTAACACCAGGTAACTCATAAGTCTTTGTAATAATATTCAGATATAGCAGGAATTTTTACAACATAATTTTATCCAGTACTTTTGCTACAAGTAAATAGCTATAACTCTCATTCTTTGATACTGAAAGAGAAACATTATTACAATTATGCTTACAAAATAAACTGTTCTTTTAGAATGTTAGTGGCTTTTGTTTGGGAGTAGTTCACACAGAACTTCCTTAGCATTGCTTTTCTAAAAATAAATAAACATGTTTTCAGAATTTCACGAGTTCGTACACATTAAATTGGAAAAATGGAGGGCAACGTACGAATATGTCCTAAAGAATACTACAAAACTGCATGTGGTGTTCTATGAAAAGCTCCGAGAAGACCCAATAAAGGAGGTACGTAAGATGCTGACCTTCTTGGGCGTTAAACCAGATGAAGGTCGCCTTGCCTGCTTGAGTCGCCATACAGAAGGGAGAGTGAAAGGAGCTCAGAAAGAAAATGATCCCTACAGTTTGTACGAGAAAATGAACATGTTTTCTGTTGTCCAAGCAATTAATGCTCTCTTAAAAGAAAGAGGATTTACTGACTTACCTGATTATGAATTTTAGAAGTAGGGTCTACTACATTTTGCTCATACAAGTTAAAATGGCCACTATTGGAGGCTGTGAGAATGTCATAAACTAGTTTGTACGAGATATTTTTAAATAAATTTTTAGCTTCAAATTGTTTTTATTTTTTCTTCCTATAGTTTACCAAATATTTTAATGTGGTGTTTATTAATTAGCAGATTATTGCATATTATACAAGCACAATGCCAAAAATATTTTTTGTTTTATACAGAGACTAATATATTTATCAGTTAGACTATTACTTGGAAAACAATCAGTGTATTTGTCCAAATAAAAAATTACATGTAATATACACTTGATGTCAGCTAACAATTATAGTTTAAATTTCTGTCACAAATAAGTTATTTCTTAGGTTCAGCAAAAAGTTTAATAATCAAATTAATCATTGTTACTTAGGTTTAATTATTTTCAAATTAGATTGTCATAGGTCAGAATATTGGATACAATTTGTAGAAGCATTTATAGCAGATGCTTGGATGAAAAATTTTGAAATACCTAAAATAAGTGAACTCCTCTCTTTCACTTTTTCTCTTCTCTTCCCCTTTTCTTTTTGACTTCTTCCCCCTTTCCTCTTCCTACTTCACTACTACTTTTATTCTCTATTCTCTCCTCTCCTCTCCTCTCCTCCCCTCCTATCTTTTTTCCATTTCACTATTCTCCTTACCTCTTTTTTCCCGTCTTTGCTACCCACTTCTCTGCCCACTTTACTATTTTCTCTTTTCTATCTTCTTTTCTTTCTTTCTCTTCTCTGCTCTCTTCTCCTTTCTGTTGTCTCTTCTTCTCTGCTTTCCTCTCTTCTGCTCTCTTCTCCTTTCTATTGTTCTATCTGTCCTCTCTACATTCCTCTCCTCTCTTCTATATCCTCTTCTCTTCTCTCCCCTCACTTCTTCTCTTATCCTTTTCTCTCTGCTCTACTTTGCTCTGCTTTTCTCTTTGTACCAAGCAGTCTCTCATCTAATCTTAACTTGTTACTTAAGCACAGTAAGCTAACTCAATGACAAAAGAATTTATAAAAAAAACAGCCAACGACACTCAAGAAAAAAATATAAAAATCCTTAACATTAAAATCTTCAGGCTAATATATCAAACATCTTTCCAATTTTAAGAAGTAACTTTTATTTCTAATATATCTACATCAGTTACCTTTTTGCTTACTAATTTACCAGTACAAAAGCATGGGATGTTTCGTTACGAAGGAGATGTAACGTGATGTCTAGCAAAACGGATGTTCCTCAAAAGGGCTTCATGGCACAAGGAGGCCTCTTTCTCTGCTTCAAACACACTTTCAACTTCTGCCTCACTTCGACAAACCTGCAAGAAATTAATCAATAACTGATGTAAGTTTTGCCTCTCTTGTTGGGCTGCTTAACCAAAAATTCATGAAAATTTCCAAACACTTACATGGTAACTAACATCCAATCTTATATAATTTTTAAAATATGTTATTTTTTATGTGAGACCACATAAAATAGAGATCTTTGCTATACAAAGCTCCCTATACAATACTTACCATGCTTAATGAACTGCCTTTTACTAAATGAATCAAATCTAGAAAAAAACTATATAATTTTTAAACTCACCTCAAATTTCACCCACTTGTACTTTGAGCATTTTCTTGCACCTGGACAGGCCTGCAGTACATTCTGAACACTGGGATGAGTTAGGCCGAAAAACCGACAACCTCGTTCCTCACTGTCTGATCCCTCTGGCCTGTTGGATTTATCACATCATAAAACGAGGCTCATATTACAGTATAACAGTGAGAGGAGCAATAGTAAGAATAGAATATTTAATTAGATTTCATTAAAACTACAGCAGCACTATTCCTCTCTCACTTTCTTTATATTCCTATATCTTGCTTTCTCTTTAAAATAATATCAAATGATACACAAGTTAGAGGAGAATAAAAAGGAAAGAAGTTAAGCATGTGAGTTTTATTTATTATGAATTATCACTGAATCAATACTGATATTAACCTGATCTCAGGATTTAACAATACCAGGTAAAAAAAAACATATTTGAAGTCAGACTGAGCTTAACTGTCAGAAATCACTCATGTTTTACCACAGCTTTTTCCCCTGTTCCCTAAATATCCAGTAGACACACACAAACAGCCTACTTCAGCATAATAAAATGTCTCACACATGTACTTTCTTTGATAAAGCACCCACCTAATAGTAAGAAGGTCCATATTGAGTGTTGAGTTGATGGTGTGGAGGATGTGATTGTGGCATTCTGCTGGGGACATACCCACCACTACAGACTCCTCCTCATCTTCACATACGACCTCAAACCTAGGAAATAACAAATTTGATAAGTGAGTATGACAAATACTTGTATTGTATCCTACATGATTCATGAATATATGCATCAGATATTGGATGTGATACACTGCCAAGAATAAAGTGACATACACAATAATCATTCTATATTATCCATGATAAGGATAAAATCCACCAACTGCTTGACGATGATGATAAAAGTGATGATTGATGATGACCGTGATCATGATTAATGATGGCTGAGTTGAGTGAAGATGATGACAGTGATGATGATTGATGGTACTGATGATGATAAATAGTAATTGTTAATATTGGTATTAATGAAATAGATGATAATCATAATCATGATGAATTAGGTAATAATGATAACAATAATATTAAGGATAATGACATTGACCAGGAGAACTAGGCATAAGGGATAGAGGAGAAGAGGGATCAAATGGTACATGGGAGAAACAGTAAATTATTCCAAAACAAAAGAGGCACCTAGTAAGTGACTGACCTATTCTAACATATATCTAGATTTTGATCTGGATCTTATATGCCATTAATCTCACCTTGGAATGGGTCCACCATCCACAATTTTGCAGGTGTAAAGGACTGGCTTGAGAGGATCTCGAAGACTTGCAAACATTCTTGATGAGCAAAAGCCAACAGGAAAAATACAATGCTCATTGTGGTATGCCTCACGTTCACTGACAATCTGCAAGGAGGAAAGTAAATTCATACTCATAATTTTCATTTAATTGCATCCTAATATCCCTATAAGAACAAAAGTGACTATCAGTGGGATGAGTAAGAAATCACTGTACGAGGAAATATCATTCAATAACTTAAAAAGCAGCAAATAGTCAATGTTTCGCTAAACTACGTAATATACATTTGTCATCACTATACTTAATTCCTATCTTCCAACATCTATTTCATGTGAAAAAAGTATAATAAGCACCTTACCTCTCCAAGGCTATGTATGGTAAGGGGGCCAAGAGTTATAGGAAATATGGGGCGGCCAGCAGAGTCTAGGGTGATGGGTGGGCACAGTCGCTTTGGTTTGTTGCTTCCACTTTTTCTGGCCTTAATAGCTTTGTCTGATGTTCCTGATGATGCTGAAGCATTAGTATTATTTCCTGCAGAAGAAAAATTGTTCAAACTTTCATTTCATTAAGTCAGGGGTGTCAAATGCAAAATCCTTTTATGGACAAATTTTCATTTCAACTGCCACCTTGTGGGCCAACAACGGTACCAGGCTTCCCAGGAATATGAGATTTAAATTTTCTGAAATTATACACCTGTACATAAAGGTTATTTTGCTTATTAATTATTAAATGGTGACATTGATGGCAAAAAGTTGTGTACATATACAGTATAATCATGCATTAGACATGGACTACTACACTTTATTACAGAATTTTATTTTACTTTTTAAACATAATCAGCCAGTTTATTAAAATTGTGAGAGACCCAAATTAATTATAAATATAAATATGCATATATATGAACTGATGAATACGTTCTGTCTTCTGTGGATATGCATGTCCATTTGTACCAATATTCAGTGGGTTGGGCCATGCACAATTTTCACGAATTGTCCAAAAATGTCTACTTTGTCAAGACATCATAAACATGAAGGACAAAAACTATGCATCTTCTCTTTTTATTAAGAGAAATGCAAATTAATTAATCAACATTATGGAAAAAGGGTTCTTTATTAACTCTTATTGTCTCTTAATCAGATATTAATTTCCTTCATGGCTATCATAATTTTACAGGTGAATAACTATTCTTGTCACCCTACAGGAAATTTATGACCACCCCAAGGGTTACATCTGGGCCAAAGGGCATGAGTTTGATTTATGTAGTAACTTTTACAGCTAAACACATAAATCAATAAAGATAATTTAAGACCACTGTTTCATTACAGTCAACAGAACCGAGCATCTACATGGGCTCTTTATTTTCACTTCTAAATTTCATACATTTTCTTCAATGCAGATGTTACATAGAAGTCTATACAGCACAGTAAAGTTCTTTTCAAATTCTACCATGTTCTGATAAGCAACTTTGTTTTATTGATAAAATACACTGAAATGAATAAAGCAACACTGGAGTTTTTAGCTCTACATCAAAAATATCACGAAGATTAATACATATTATGCATAAAAAAATATTATGCACAGAAAAAAAGTAAAAATAGTGCATGTCATCTAAAAACATATATACATCTATATAAGAAGAAGAAGAATTGAATAATAATGATAATAAAAAAAAGTCAGACATACTGTAACAAGAGTACACACATATTTCATTCTCACCATGGTTAGAATCAGAAGGTTTCCGCTTCAAAGTTGTCTGCTTGGGCTTCTTGCCATCCCAGTTATCAATACTGCCACTGCCTAAAACAAGGTAGCTGTTGCTCTGTACAAAAAGGAGAGATAATAATTCAACTGCTCATTCAGGAATACACACGTCATTGTCATCTATTCTGGCATATCCTATTCAGATCATAAACCTTTTTTTTTCTTTCTTTGTTTCTTTCATTCTAGCTATCACCATTATTGCATCAAAAACATTATGAGTCCAGGGTAATGTTTACCTTTGTATTTAATTGGTTGTGATGATCTGCAGTTGTCTGATGATGACACAGTCTCTTGAGTAGAAACATTCTCTCTTCTGCAGCTACAACAAGTTGCTGTTGAACTTCTGCAACTTGGTCACATAAAGCAGCATTTTC